GGTTGCACAGTATGAGAAGAGAAATACCTGTAGGATCTTTATAAGCAAGGTGGCTTCTGAAAAGCCCCCTCAGTTTAGATGGGAACCCTCATTAAGCTCAGCAGAGGCCACTCAGCAAGGGAATGCCAATAATTGCTTTGGCCAGACGATTTATATCCTTGTCCCACTGTTTTCAGTGCACTCCACACCTAGTGTGGATTGTCTGCTCTACTAGTACCCTCTACTACATTCTGAAGTAGGAGTGGGTATGGCTGAGGCATCATACTGCTTCATCTCAGCAGTGCAGTCTATCACAGTTTTTCTTATTGTAATCAGGAATAGTATTTTGAAATCTTCCTACCACTGCAAGTTATCAATCTTGGAAGGGCAATAAATTTAATGAGGAAGAAATCATGCATAAATAGCACCAGGATTAGAGAAATTCTGATTGCCTTCTATGCTTATTCCTGCATAGCAAAATAACACCTGAAGAAAGCTTCTTCCGGTCAGATATTACAGGAATAAATAATTAAAGCATTCTATCATGATTGGGAGAATGTTTTGCTAACTTCCCAAAAGTGACTGTTCAGCCATCATTTTACAATTGACCAATCTGTGTGAAAAAGAAAGATTATTAGGAAGAAATAAATCGGTCTAGAAGCTCTGAACATACCTTTTATCTCCTTCGGTCTCACCACTCCCTCCATTCCTTAGTGATTTGGTACATATACCATATAAACTGCAATTTAAAAAAAATCCCCATCGTGTCTAGATTATTTTCAGAAACATCCTTTGGACTGCCTTTCCTGAAGCTATGCCTCTGTGATATTTCATTTCTGGCAGAGAGAGTACAAAAATTTTTGTCCCCGGGAAAAAAACAGAAAAATAAATATAGTTCTTGTGTTAGGCTAAGACTAAGTCGTGATATAGGAGCATCACTGATACATCTGCTGAGGTGTTAACCTATCTGGTCAGTTGAATCCTTGTATGGGTTCCTCCAGACCCATTTGAATGATCTAAGATGGTAGAGGTTTACAGGACAGACAGCTTTTACAGGCAGTTGTCAGGTAAGCATTCAATACATCTAAGCTTGTCTAAATAATATATCTGACCCAGAAATAATTTTAATAAAAAGACATGATCTGATCACTATTAGAACTGCCAAGGAATCAAAGGCTGGTCAACTGAATGAGGAAATTATTTGGTATAAATCATCCTTCAGTTCAAAATCTAAGACTAAGACTTTTGCATTCTCTTTATCTTGTCTCGTTTATGTTAACTGTTCAAATTATCTCTTCCCTTTTTTCACAAAGATGGAGCTAACTAATTTTATCTTTAATTATTTCACTTTCTTTTAATTAAATAGAAACTTTCTTTTAAATCTTTGTCAGTTTTGTATTTTTTGGCAGGACACATAGGCTTAAAGTACTATTATTCACTGGTATGGACAAAATTGAAACTATCTAAAAGCATAGTCACTGTATTGTTCAGGTGATAAGATCAATGTTACTGAACTGCTCTTGTTTCTGCCAAACAGCTGCACAAAATCGGAATAATCCTTTTGTCCTTTTAAAATTATCTTTTATAATTAAGTGCACTTTTAAAAAAGAGACAACCTTTAAGAAAGGCAATAGACAATGCAGATATTCATGACAAGATCTACAAAGCCAGTGGAGAGTCGATTCCATTCCATTCACAGTGGGAATTGCTCTGCAGTATTCGAAAGTGAATTAAATATTTTCTTTAGATTTACAAATACAGATTTCTTCAGCATGAGTGCTATGGAAGTAGCAAATAACTTTTCATGGTACACTTGAATGGAAAAGACAATGATCTTGTACAAGGCTGAGTGCTATCTTACACAAAAAATGGATGTTCATGAAGACTGTAATGGTGGTATTGACCTTCTATACAGGCTTCAAACCACTGAGTCTCTCTTGCAAAGAAGGCTGGGGGACCTGGGCCTGTTCACTTTGAGAAGAGATGACTGAGAGGGGACCTCATCAATGCCTGTAAGTCTCTGAAGGGAGGGTGTCAGAGGCTTTTCTCAGCGGTGCCAGGCAATAGGACAAGAGGCAACAGGCAGAAAGTGATGCACAGAAAATTGCCCCTGAACATGAAGAACTTCTTCACTGTGAATGTGACTGAACTCTGGGACAGATTGCCCAGATAGGCTGTGGAGTCTCCCTCACTGGGGATACTCAAGAACGCTCTCACACAATCCTGTGTCATGTGCTCTGGGATGCTCAGAGCAGGGAGCTTGGACCAGATGACCCCTGTGATCCCTTCCAATCTGACCCATGCTGCGTTTATGTGTTCTAATAGCACAGGATCTGGATTTTGTTAATGATATGACATGGACATGATAATGAGTAGAATGATATGAGTAGAACAGAACAGCATTTTACTCTTATCAAGGACAGTAGAACAGAACAGCACAGCCTTGGAGAAACAGATTAAAGGATGTAACTTAGGCAAATAGAACCCATGCAAAATGCAAACAGGATGACAGCTCAGCTCTGCAAGGCTGACAAAGCAGAAGTAATGAAAAAAAATTATATTGCACTGACTCCAAAGCAGGGGTCAATGAACAGGCACCTAAAAAGGACATGGGACATTGAAGACAGACCCCAAGGAACCTATAAAGACTTGATAAGAGGCGAGACTCTCTAAAACAAAGTAAAACATATACATCCAGTAAGGGGAGATAGCTAATGAATCAGGGATCATTTTTGTATAATAAACACTGTTTACTCAACTCTTGGGCATTCTATTGGAGATAGGATCCTCTGAGTGACCAGCACACTGCACTAAAGAATCCCTGCTCTCTAATACCCAAAACCATGTAAGAAAGTTTCTATCTGACTGACGGTGGTATCACAATGTTCCATAATTTCATTATCTTAAATAAAAAGACTTATAAACTAAAAGAGCTATGGATTCTTGATTTTAAATGCAATACCATCAGTTCATAGATGAACAACATTTGTGCTTTACTGATATAAAAAACTGTTGCCAACTAAAAATAGGCTTACTTGTCCAGCCAACTTACAAAAAAAATCTTGTAAATTGTTGTCCTTTCAAAGCTGAAATGAGAACAAGATCAAAAAGAGAACACATTTCAAAAGTAATCGTAGTTGAGGGGCATGCTGTACATTAACATTCCTCTCAACATCACTTTAATCTCTCATTTTAGGAACTGCCTAGTTTTCTTTCACTGGCTTCCTGGCTTAGAAGAAACCTCATCTATCTTCCCAATGGAAAGATGAAATCCTGGCAGAGTCAGCAATTTTTCCTTTTAAAAATATGATAGTAAACACTGCTTTTCACCCCACCAAAATATTTTAAAATTACAGACTGAATATTATGATTTGTAGAGATTATACCTAAAATATTTTACTAAACATTTTCAGCATCTGTTCCCAGATATATGCATGCTATATTTGCCCTCATTTTCATGAAGAATTTTTCAAATTACACAAAGGTGATTAAAGCAGGCATGACTATCTTTACTTTCTGATGGGTCTGCTTTCCTTTGAAGAGAAAATGAAATTTTATTGTACAATCCATTAAATTACTTTTACTAAATGTGTTTGTGCTGGGATCTTCTTGATATATAGGATTTCATGTCATTACCTGGCAAGATTCCCAGTTAAATGTATTTAGTGGATAACGAGGGCTTGGGAAGGGAACAGTAGCTGCATTACAGATTTGCAGAAAAGGAATTTTGCCATATATGGTAAGTCATAGACACACATCAACAGAAGTTGCTTAGAATAATTGAGAGACGGAAATTTACCTATATCCCATTACATAATCCCATCTTAGAGAGCCAAGCAAAGAGTCAAATCTTTGAAGAAACATCTACAGAATCTGGGGTGAAGACTCAATGTAAACATCAGCACAGTACATAAGATTCCACTCCTGTGAATATACTTCATCCTGCTATTTAAGTCTATGCAACATCAAAGACACATTTGCAGGTACAGTCTTGAAGAGCCAGCAACTTAAGACGCCACAATAATGTCACTTGGTATGCAGGGGAGGTTAAAGGAAGGATTAAAACCAGTCAGGCACGATATATTAAAGGAATCCATGACTAACGGAGTGTGACAGCAAAGGGTTTCATTCTTCTAACAGAAAAGATCCCTAGGGTTTGAAGTATTAGTCCACTGTGCCTTTATCACCTTGGAATTTTTATGGTTATTTTTGATGTATTCACATTTTCATAATTACCTTTTTGGTATTAAGCCAATTTTCACTTTTAATTAAATCCCTAAATAACCTTAATTCTTCATTAAAAGGTTTGTTGTTCTTTTTTTTTTCTTTATTATTACTGTTAAGAAATATTTCAAATACCAAAGCATAATGTTAGTTAGTAATTATAACTTCACAAAGGTCCAGCAACTATCTGTGTTGTACCTTGTAAACATTATGCCAGTGATTAATAGGAGCCAGGATGAAAAATGCTAAAAGAAAAACATTCCCTTAGGCCACAACTCAGCTCTTTAGAGATGCATTTATACATATAAACAGTTGATGACTCATGGACTTGACATCCACAGGGAATAAGCACTGTGAAATATCTTAGTATTATCGGGAGTACTTGGAATATGGAAACACAGTTTAGAGCTTAGTCCCATATACTGCCCTCACTGCCCTCAAAATCCATCCTTCCATCTGAGACTGGCCAGGATTTTGTAATTTTGTGTATTTACCAAGTGGTGGAATTTGTAACCAAGCATTTCTGTTTGCAAAAAAATTATTTTTATTTGCCTTGTTGTGTGCCTTTAGTGATTAACTATCACATCAGAAAACATAAAGCATTAAATCAGGCAGCCTCATTAAGTCAAAGATGAACTTATCTATATAGGAACCACACCTATCTATAATTTGCTCTTTTTTTCTAATTCAAAGTCTCAAATCAACCCAAGTACTTGAAAATGCATTGAGACATCTAATATTATAACACTGATTTCTTCACATAAACTTTACACCGGTCAAGAAACCAGAAAAATTACCTTTTTCCTGACTTGTTGATCTTTGGAAGAATGGGCTTTCACATGTTTTCTCAGGGAACTTGGATCTGTGTATCGCTTAGTACATCCTGGAATTTCACATGCATAAGGTTTCTAAATCAAAAAGAAAAAGGATAAAACTACTGTTATATCACAGATGGTTTTAACTCAAGAGAATCCTTTTTGATTCCTTTAGGATGCTGCAAACCACATTATTACAGGACAAAAACATTGTACATTATTGCAAGCTGAACGCTTGGCAAGTTGTTAGAAAAGGAAAGGATGAAGTAAAGCTTTAAAGAAAGACAAACAAAAAGAAAGCTTTAATTTACAGCACCATTCATAATTACCTTTTCTTTTCTTAGCAATATAGTGAATATTGCTAGATATACTTGCAATTCTTCCACCCTCAGAGCAATCTTTGACTTAATTAGAAATTACAGTCTTTAGTGAATCAGGTAAAGAAACTGTAGTAAAGGCCCAGAAAGACTGTTTAGGAATTAAAGAAGGATCTGCTTCAGAAAAAGAGAACAAGAAAAAGTGTTAGTTTACTATATTACAAAGAAGGCAAGCAAAAACCCAATCAAGCATTGAATACTGAAGTTCAGAAGTATTACATACAAAAAAATAATTATGCATTTTAATGTGAAATACTGGCCAACTCCTTCAGCTCACATGTTCTAATAATACTTCATTTTAGAAAAACACCTACAAAATATCCTATAATATCCTTATAGTTTTCTTAAAAAAATGCCCAATAAACTCTAACTCATCTCGCATGTTCTAATCTGTCTGTCTTCCCTGATGATTTGTAGGTTCATTAATTATATTATTTAGATACTTAAATATATTTAGTAAATATATTTTTATATATTTAATATATAAAATATAATTTATATATTATTATATTTATACTTATATATATTTATATAACATATGTTACACTAATGCTAAGTATAAAATGAACATTAGATCCAACTGTTTTCTGCAAGTAGCTATTCAGCAATTTATCCACTTGTGTTTTACAAAGAATTGCTGAAAACACCTTGTATACATTACTAACTTGCCAGCCATAATATTGATGCTTCAAAATGGGTGATTTAGTTTTTATAATGGCCATTTAATTTAAATGGCATTGTTTTATTTCTATTTCTGGACTCCTGCCCTTTGGAAACTGTCTCTGAGAAAATAAAAACTTTGTTTCCGCAACAGAGGTTTTTAAACAAATCTCATCTGTGACTCAAATTTACAAGGGACAATCTATTGTTATGAAAATATTTAGATTTACAAAATTATTCTACCTCTCTTGACTTTCTGGTACATGCCCCAGCCTCAACTTTTCATCAAAGAAAAGCACTTTATATTGCAGATGGCTTCAGTTTCCCCAAAGATCGACTAAGTGGGAGAAAGCTACTGCCTCTACCTACAGCAAAGACCATGGAACTGTGGTCCTTTCATCAACCAAGCTGGGCCAGCCTTCTTGCATGTTTATTTTACTGGGTCACTTTTGAGCAGCTTCAACAGCCTCATCAGACCATCCACCCTCCTGTCTCTAAGGTTTTGGGCTACCTGCTGTCACCAAGCTGGAGGAAAGGAGCAGATGGTCTAATGTACAGGGGGCTGCAGTGGCACTGCTGTGTCCTTACAGTGTCCAGATGTGTCCTCTGGTGCTTGGCACGGTCGCTGGAGTTGCTGAATGCTTTCTGGCAGCCAGGGTGCTGGCAAAGGTACGGCTTCTCACCCGTATGGCTCCTTAAGTGAATCTTGAGATTTTCTAGCCTGGAAAAGGCTTTCTTGCAACCCTCAAACTGGAAAAGAGAAAGAAATTATTTGAAAGGAAAGCCCACGCAGTAAACTGCAACAGCAAACACCGAACAGAAGGGTAAAAGGGCATGTAGAGACCTCCAGCCTGCTACGGCTGGGTAGCTCTGCAGCACCTGGCTTCTCAATGTGGGTGTTGCTGCAGGGTACAAACCACATAGACTGTAACAATGCACCTATCCTCCCTGCACATGGCTGAATCAGCAGAGTATGTCCCACATTTTGCAGATGGCACCCTGAGACCCAAAGGGACAAACCAGCACCTGTCTGGGAAACACAGCACCAGCTGATTCTCCTCCCTGTAGAATACAGAGAGCAAAATGGGCACTGAGGTTCCCAAGACTTCTGCTAACTATCCCTGCCTCAATTCCAGCCTTCTTTGGATATTAGGAACTGAGCCTAACAGAGGCATCTCTCAGTACCAACCCAACCTAAAGAGCAACGGCAAAGACATGCAGGGAAATTTTTGCCTTTCTAATCGTGATGCAAAAAGTGAAATGATTTCTGAAATATAATTTTACCTTTCTGCCACAGGTAAATGTATGAAGTACTAAAAATAAAGCAAGCCTGTCAAAATAGGATGTAATTTCTATGGGGAACCAATAATCACGTGGAATCAATAATCACAGTATTTCTATACCCAGTCAAGTACTGCATCTGTGGGAGAAATCTACATTTATATGAGCAGAAAATAAGTTTTTCATCTATCATGCTCTCATAGTATACTGTAACCTAAGGGAAACTAAAAGATCCATTCTATTTGACACCAGCATTTTTATATGCACTTGATTTCAATTAGACCTAAATATTTTTGAATATCAGAAGTATAGGCTTTCTAAAATTCTATCAGTCAGGATCAATTTATCGCATCGGTTTCAGCTGCTGCATATTCCACTATGCAACATCTAAAACTTCTGATGCATAACAAATGGCTAGTTTGTGGTTCTTGTATGGTTGCAAAAATAATAATTCTGTAGCAGTGATATCAAACATTTCTAAAGATAACACAAAAATTTCCACCATTTCACTACCTATTAATTTTATTCGCTTGAAAAGAAACAGGCCATTTTTCACTGGTGTCAAAATAACCCAACTAAATTTTATAATATGTTACTCAGTGCATGTATGCTCACAAAAGCACAAGTAGGAAAACTGACATAATTCTGGTCATAATTAGCATGCCTTTCTTACAAATTGATAACCTTTTCAAAAAAGGAGAAAAAAATTATATACAATTTGTATTACATAATTGTAAGCACATCTTTTGGATTACTGCAAAAAAATTACAAGTTAAATTAATAAAGTACAAAACACATTAATTAAAGTAATTAATTAAAGTATAAAACATTTTAATACATTAATTAATTAAACTACAAAACACATTTTTATTACCTATAAACCAGAAATATTAAAATTAAGCTTAACAAATTAAAGCTTGATATAGAGGATGAACCATGCTTGCTACACCATAATTGCAATTTATCTTTCCTACACATGCACTTCAGAAAATGTCCCAATCTATGAAACTTTTTATTTATATTCCATCCATTTATCCAAAACAAACCATTATTTTTCAAATTATCTAGTTTTGATCACTGAACATTAATTTATGCTTGTATAAATAGTGTTGCCTTTATGTTTATGGAGCTTTAACATCCATACAAAAGATTGTTGCAAATGTAAAATATGTTTACTCTTAAGAATATATTTTTGGAAAATATTACAGGATAAAAAAAAAATACAATACACCAATATATCTTAAAATTGCCTTGATAAAAATAATACATTTTTCAAGGAAAAAGTAAAGTGTGTAGACAGCATAAAAACATGAGACCTAAAAACGGATATAATAAATTAATCACAAAAGTGATACAATTATAGAATGTTTTGAGTTGGAAGGGATCTAAAGGATCATGTAGTTCTAACTCCCCTGCCCTGAGTAGGTACACCTGCTAGAACAGGTTACTGAATTCTCCATCCAGTCTTGGCTTGAACACCTGCAGGGATGAGACAACTTCTCTGGGCAACCTGTGCCAGTGTCTCACCACACTCACACGATGAATTCCTTCCTAACATCCAATATAAATGTACTCTTTCAGTTTTATGCCTTCATAAAAATGGCCTTCAAAAAGAAAATAATTCAAGAGTACCTCTGTTAAAATCAGAAAGAAACTTACTGATTAGCCTATTTTATACAGACAAGGTATTATTTTGTAATAACATCATGAAAGAACAACCATACATTCTAGCGACTGTAACTACGCTGGACTTAAGAATACCTGCAGTATCTCAAGAAGACATTAATTTTATGGGGTAAAACTCAGATCAATGAACAAGCTGCAGAAGCATGACTCTGTTTTGTTTACTTTGCAGGTTATTAAACTTTGAATTTTCAAGTATGCAAATGAACCTAAACATGTAAATTATTGTTTATATGGCTGTAAAAGTACCATTAATTTTAAATGGGGAAAAAATGTTTAATTAAACAGAACTGGGGAATCTTATTATACAAATTTAAGAATTATTATTTCTGAAGACTTCTGCATTGCTGAGCATGAGCTGGAAGAAAAGATAGTTCTCCCTTCCCTCCACAGCTTTAAATTACTGTCTGGCATATTCACAAGGCAATATATAGCTGTGTATTGCTGCAAAGGTCATTCTAGCAAAACAGTCTGCCATCCTGTATTATTAAAAAGACCATCTTTAATCAACAGTTAATGAATGTTTCTTCCAAAAATTTCAAAGCCTTAGGAATCTCTGATGCTTAAGATAAAAGGAATGAAAAAATACTCTTTTCAACAACACAGAACATACTCTCTATCTTGATAAACAAACTTCAGTGGAAGTATCACAGACAAGACATGATCACTTATGGGGGAAAAAAGTCAGGTAGCTGATAGATGTTTTTGAAATGGAACTCACAGTTTTCTAAGATATTAACTGTTGTAGTCACTTAAGTATATGGCATACCTTTAGTATTCAGAATCTATTTAACAGTCCTAAACATATCCTGATTAAACCAGATTTTTTGCAAGTGTTATGTGAAATTAATTGTGCCATATTTCCCTAAACTGCAGTACAGAAATCAGTTACTGAGCTTTTATTTTTACTGCTGTATGCAAATTGAAACCATTTAAGTAGCTCATACAGAAAATTTCCTCTCTGTACTTCCCAAAGTTCTTTTTAAAATACATTCATGTTTACTTTCTCCTTTTATAAGGACAATTATGAAAAGCAAGAAACAATAAATTTACAGGGAAAGATAATACATGCCAACAAAAAGAAAAAGCAGTCTTATGACTTTTAAAACATTTGTGTTCTCAGGAGTGCACGGCCATCCTTGTTTACACAGAGATGATGTTTGACATACCAGGCAACTCTCCTGTAAAATGACAATGTAATTCCATAGGTTATATAAAAAAAAATATGTGTGCACCATGCAAAGCCCTGCTGGATGTACCATGCATTTCTGAGCCCTGACTGGAATTCACTACGAAATATATTTAGACTCCTAACTACAGAACAGCATGGTAATACCTGTGTGAATACTTCAGTATCAGTAGCAGATAGTCAGTGACTGTTTTCTTTGCAAAAGGGACCGTTCTGATTATCTCAGTTGACCACTACTATAGCAAGTTCTGACAGGCATTTGTCTCAGCTCTGATCCATTCACTCAAAAGTATGTAGTCTTCATATAAAAGTCAAACACAGCCAGACTAGCTTCTTCTTAATCCAGTATCTAATATTATCTGGTATTAAATATATTCACGTTTTTCTGTCTGAATGGCTTTGCTTCAGCACTCAGGCAGTGTATTTTTTTTGGTCATTTTTCTGCTGTATTAACATTATAAGCAATGTAAAAAGTAACTTTTTTGATCCTAGCTATTTTCTGTTGTCAAATCATTTAACCTTTTCCCAAACAATTTATACTTATCAAAAGTATTTTCTTTCTCCTATATGTAATACTTTCTCAGACTACTTCAAATTGATTCCAAACCTCAAGAAAAAAAAGAAATTAAATTAATTGCTTTTAGAAATATTGACACCTGATCAGTATTTGATTTTATAGAAATGTTCAATCCAGTATACAACATAATGTTACTGTCCTCAAGTTTGGGCTTTTAGTATCTTTTTTCATCTGAACCAGTTATAGAGTGATCCGCAAATATTTATAAGCATCACTCTATGTGGCAAAGGATCATCTTTTATTTTTTGAAGCGTGAAGGATAAGCATTTCCCTTTCCCATTGTCATGTGTGAGAAAATATTAATGGCATATTATAATGAATACATCTCATTACATGCTCCTCATCTGGTCTCTCTCTAAGTTTACTGGGAGAGGAGTGGTTTTCCTTTTTAAATTTGACTTTGCTAAACATTAGCCTGCCTATAACCATTAAATTGCAGCAGCTGGTTTTCTGTGTACAAGACCTAGCTTGTACACACAAAATCTCAATAACAAACCTAGATATTTCAGGGATAGAATATATTTTTTCTTGAATAAAACAGAATACGTATCTTAGGCAAGAAGCAAAAGAGACTGAGAACCCCTCAAAGGCTCTGATATAGAGAAATACATGAGATACGTTCAATTGACCTCAGAAAGTTCAATATGGCATGTGCTTGATGCAAAGGTGAAGAACTCTTCAAATCTCTGCCAATCTGACTTGGGGGAAATCAACCCAACCCTAAGTACACACAGACCATGTATTAACCAAGTATTCAAATACATGCCCAGAGTTGCAAAACACCAGTTCATCTGGCTTAGTAATCTGTTCAGTCATGGGGAACCTTTGATGATGCAAAATGAGGAGAAAAACGTGCACTCAGAAACTGAGATACATATCAGAGGGGAGAAATTCCTCATTGATTTTAAAAGCCAAACAAGATAAGAAACTTTACCCTAGCAAAAATACTTTCCATGAAAAACCAAAAGAAAATAATCAACATCTCTACCTTGCATGTCTCTTCTTCATTAAGCACAATGG